TGTATGCATTGCAGAAAATGCCTCATTATATATTTTTTTGTTGAATTTTTTTATTAAAAACTTGTATAAAAAGTTCCCTGACATCATGTCTGGTGACTGACGGATCAACACTATCCACCTGCAGCAGCTGTAGTGGGGATCTGCTGCTGCAGGACCCTCCAGAGCTCTCCTTTTCAGGACAGAGCACACTGATCATGGTGAAACTCACTGTGAGCTACAATTTGATCTCACAACCTGGTATGTGGGCAAAGGTCAAAAGCAGATGTGGTGCTCGTTCCCCTGCTCTGTGGGAAATGGAGTTTGGACTGATGGTCACTGGCTGTCCAGGGGCATACCCTGGCCATGGCTCTTTACTCTCTGCGTGCTGCTTTGGTGAGCCCCAGCCCTGCTCTCCAGGAAGATTTCCCTGCATGCTGTTTCCAAACACCATAAATCAACTTCCACTTTACAAGGTACTCCAGAACAAAGCCAATGGACACAACTTCCTCAGGAGTTAAAATCTGGCTTGCAAAGACACAGAAAGTGTACATGTGGCTACTCCATGACTCATTCCTTTGGCACAATACTTTTTACCTAATTAAAGCAAGAATTTCCCTCTTTCTGTTTATTCTAAATATATATATGATTAAGACAAGGCTTCTTATACACTGCCCACATAAAGGAAGAACTGTAAGTTCTGTCCCCTAGAACATCTTTCAACTTGAACATAGATATGAGGGAAGAATAGCACTCAGGCACAGAGTTTCCTGCAAGGGAGCTTCCATATCTCTAAACACAGTCAATCAGATCAGCTGGAGCATTGAATGCTCTGCTCTCTGCTGGGAGGTTCATTTGCCTTGTCCCATCAGAGACCCCAAACCAAAAAGCACCTCTTCACCAGCATCACTGTTATCAGCAAAGATTAAATAGAAAGTATGCACTTAGCTTTTACCGAGTAAGGAAATAATTCTTCTACAACCTTCGAACAACACACAGAAACTGCCAGGTAGAACAACACACAGAAACTGTAAAGTAGGAGTGAAGGGAATAACCTGTACCCCAGAATGTTATTAAGATGGGTGGAAGTGGCTTGTGAACTGACGTACACTGCTGCAACCAGTCTGGCCTCACTAAAAACAGCTCATAAAGAGAAAATCTGAAGTGAGCAAAGCAGCACCTTTGTGGTGTTGGTGGCTGTTAGCTAGGGCTGAGCAGAAGTGGGTTTAGATCCGGTCACAGCCATCTAGAAACATGCTCTGCGTGTCAAGTATTTCTGTGGTGAGTGTAATTAATGTCTACAAATCCTTTTGCAATGCTCTGCTGAGACGTGCTCTGGGTATTAGAGCCAACAAAGTTGACAGGAACAGAGCAGAGGGAGCCAGAAGCTGTCCTGCAATACAGCACCACACTGGAACACAGCTCCCCAGGGCAGGCAGCAAAGGCAATTAACAGGAGAAGGATGATGCAAGAGCCTGCAGAATTTCCTGGCAGGAGCAGAAACAATGCGAGGGAAGAGAGAAAGAAACAAATAAAAGATTGAGATTCACTGGCCCAGAAGCTCTTCTAAAAGGAAAGGGTGTTGAGGATACAAGGGCAATAGAGGAAATCAAAACAGGCAAGAGCAAAGTGGCAATTTGTAATTCAGTGAGGAGATTTTGGCCATTTCCTCTGTGGCTGGGCACTGCTACTAGAAAAGCTGATGGGCTTTCATTTTTATTGCTACTGCTTATTAAATCCATGCAGCATTATAGAGCAGATGTTTCTACTGGAGGCGTGTTGTACTACGTGGAGTATTAACTAACCTGCTCTGTTCCTCTGCCTGAGCACAGTAAAACCCCAGTATCACTGTGACACATGACTGTTCTAGGACACCTATGTTTCAAGCCCCGGTTGACAGTCAGGTATCTTCAGGACATTAATCCTGGTTGAGAAGTGCCATGATAGATGAGTTACAAAGCTGCTGCTATCCCTTGTAGCATTATCCTTGCTCATAGCACTTCCTGACAAACCTGGATGCCTGAGCAGCACAAACTTTAAGAACTGAAGCTAGTTATAACTTCAATAATAACATTTCCAGAAGCATAAAAACCCACAAATGACTTACAGAGGAGCTGCAGCAGGCAGGTCTGGGGCATCACTGGGGATCAGCATGCAGTTAGCAGAGAAGCATCTATGGAGAAGCAGCTCTCACGCAAAACACAAAATGGGGCATGCCCCACGAAAGCCCTTCCCTAATAAGGGCTGGGTGGGAGGAACTGAAGGATTAAAGGTGTAGGGAAGGAGCTTCTTCAGGAGGATGCAATTTGGGCTTGACTGCAATTAGGCCTATCCCGGCTGGTAGCAATTCCCCCTGAGCTCTTTGTAAGTGGTAGCTGTCAAGGAGAATCAGGGAAAAAGGCAAAAGGGAAAAAAAGGAAAGAAAAAAGACAATCTGAGTTAGCAATAAAGCCCCTGTGCCATGATCCAGGAAGGGACAAGCATGGAGTTGGGTGCTTTCTGTTCTGGGGTAAGCTCTGGCTCAGGCAGGCTGGGCAGACAGATGCTTTTACAGCCCAGTCCTTAGCAAGCAGCTGTGACTGGGAGTGACTATGGAGAGTAAGCAGGGAGGAGCATTTCAGACATGTTCCTCTTGTTTCCAAAGGAAATCCCATATTCTGCCACCCTGGAAATGTCTGTGCTTTAACTGCCAAAGTCTCTTTCATGCAGGCACCAGAATTATTAGGTTGGATTCTCACAGTGTAAATACCATGAGAATAAATAGATTTTCACCTGAAAATCCAGCTCCACATAGCTTCCTGTGAGCTCCATCCCCACAAACCATCCTTCTGGCCTTCAGACAAGGAGCAGGAGGGCCCAAAGGTGCAGGGACAGTTCGCAGTCTGGCTCCAGTGCCTGCCTGCCTTGGGAGCCAGGGGACAAGAGTGGCCTCTGCCTAAGGATCTGCCCTGCAGCACTGAGTGGAGCTGCAGGATGAAGGAGCAAGGCTCAGGGCAAAGTGGAATTTCAGGCAGAAGCGTATGCTCATATACAGCATTTTAGTTGAACCACTTTGGGAGAGACCGAGAACACTGGAAAGTGTTTGTATGAGTCATTTTTGTAATACTGAACAGTTTTCCATTGGAATAGGTTAGAAACGGGGGGCATGAATTCCATTATCTCTTTTCCTCACATGTTGCAATACTGTCATAAAGGCCAGAGGTTCTGTAAGATCCCATGGGAAATCTGGTAAAGATACCAGGCAGAAACTTTATCCAAGTAATGATTTCAGATTAGAGCCACCTAAGCAAAGCAGATGCGGCTGATGCACCAGGCTGGCTCCCACACAGGATGATTTTGTTTTACCAGCACCATGAACCCAGCACACATTCAGCTGCAACAAGCTGTTTCAGAACAGGTTTGATTCTTGACGTACTGGAACACAAAAGAGGCCAGTGTAAACTTCAGATAAGCAATCACTAACTTTGTGTAAGTAATTATAACAGTATTGGATATCAGCAAGGTTATGTATAACTAGCAGAATTCCAGACAGAAGTTCTGGGTAGGCAGATACGGATTTCTAACACGAGGTCAGAAGATGACCAAAGAGAGGTGCTTGTGCTGTAAATGCAGCTATGAAACAGGTCTCACTTATTAGGCTGGGGCAGTGTTTCACAGTGGATCCCTAGGAGAAGAATGGCGATCTGCTTCCTGGCTAAGGGAGTAATGTTCCTACTGCCAGGAAATTATGGAAACTGGACTCCTGAAAAAAAACAAAACAGAAAAGATGTGTTGCTATAACACATGAAGTGAGATCCTGTAAGTGAATGCATTTTTGTGCACTACATATGATTTTAAACCTGCAGTAACTAATATTTCAAAGCTGAGGGAGCTTCAAAATCTAAGCTGAGCTGGGGAGGAGCAGCTCTGTTCACATCCAGTGCTGGGACAACTCAAAATGAGTCTTTTATGGCTTTTTGTTACTATTTCAGTCATGTCAGACCACAGAAATCCCGTTGTGCTACATATACATGGCAAACCAAAGAGCTCATCAGGTCAAAGACCCATGGAAACATGTTCCCTTTTCAGTTATACCATACAACTGAAGCACTAAGATTTTACTGATGCTACTTCCTTCTCTGTTACCTCCTGCTCCAAAAGACAAGCAGCTCTTTGGGAAGACTTTCTTAATCTGCTTTCAAATGACATAACAGCCACTGCAGAAAAGCATCTTGTACCAGAATAAATTCCAGGATGGAAAAATTAAACTGAAATTATATGAAAACACTATATGGGTGTGTACTATCAGCAGTGTAAATTCACACTTCCCTGTGCTCCTGCACGGCAGCCATCAGGCCGTGTTCTGGTGGGACTATTCGTTATTGACTGACTCCTTGTGGTCCCAGAGGAAAGGTTTAAGAAGTTGCTTCATCTTATTGCATCAGGGGAAAGGAAAAAAATAAGGAAAAAAACCCAAGGTCCACTGTTGATAACAGGAGTGAGAAGCCTTAGTTTGGGAAGAACTTTGCTCCTGATGTGGCATGTCACAAGACTGAGGTGTCTGTTTGCTGCTGTCCCAGTGCAGAGAGCTGTTCTGGGTTTGGTCAGGCCATAGACATTTCTAACTAAGGATCCCCCCAAGAACAGGGGCAGATGAGGAACTACCCGAGGCCTAGAGAGCCCAGCAACGTCCCTGCCAAACAGTTTGACCCGCTGCCTAGAGAAGCCTCTCTTGACTACACTTCAATATAACATCATGAATAAGCAGAGTACATCATGCCAGCAACGTGATCAGTGAATGGCCAGCTCCTAATGAGTCACATGCACAGCAAAGAAAGACTTGCAGTAAAGAAAGGGAAGACTGATGTATCGATTGTGCTGTACTATGGCTTGACATGTGTGTTTAACTCAAACATGTTGGTGCCAACTGACCACCAGGTTAGGTTCCTGAGCCTGGGAAAAACTCAACACTTGTGCTCTGATTGGCAGGACAATGTTGTTTTGGGAGAGGTAGCAACTGTGTCCTAGGGGAAGCAGAGACAACGTCTGGCAACACAAGGTTTATTTACTATGTCCACTGGCTCATGAGACAGGAGGGAAGCTGGCAGGGGACTGACCTGCCTACGGGCTTGTGTTTGGAGAAGAGCTGCCAGAAAGGCATTCAGCCAAGACAAGTATTGCATCTACTGATGTGACCCTGTTGAGATAAAGGCTTGAGCCACCTCATATCAGAAATGACCTGCTGTGGCCTAACACCTGGTGCTGTAGTGGAACCCACACTGCACAGCAGTCTGGGCCTGGCCAGGAAGTGTCTCTTTGCAACTAATCTGCACAATCAGACCTGGAAGGTTTGATTTAAACAAAGCTGCTACTGTCTGCACAATGTCCATAGGCCAGATCAGGAGTTCTTTTGGCAACAGCCTCCAAAAGAAATGAATTCAAGATGTCCATTTGTGTGGATGCAGAACTTCTCACACTGCCCTTGTCCTATGGAGTTCTTCGCCCCAGAAATCAAAGCCAGCAGCAGACCCCAGATTCCCCTCACCAGAGATCCTTAGATATCAGCTGGGAGGATGCTTTGTGCAATATGCTGTGTAGAGAATGGTTTCCTCTTTTTAGTATCAGTTCTGTCTAGTAATTCATCAGAAAAGTGGTGCTGAGGGTTGTTTAGTCTAGTTTTTTTCTTAACTCTATAACCATTCTTGGCTTTACCAGAAGATGTGATTAACTGTGGATTTATTTAGTATTTTGAATAACCAATTATCTCAAACCATACTTTAATCATAATGTAAGTCAGCAGCATCTATTGAGAAATGTAAAGATAACAGCTTTTAGAATGTTTATGGAAATCCGTAAATGTTTGAATTATCCCCATTAGAGCCATTCAGCAGCATCCAGGCCTTTAATAAACACATCTCTCTGGTCCAAAGATCCCCAAGTTAAACAGGAAAGAGACAAAGCTGTGAAAAGCAAACAAAATCCCTCACTTACAGGTAAATAAATGAGGCACAGAAAGGGACTCCAAGGGAAAGTGCAGTCAGACTTGGAATGTGACTTCCTTCCCTGCTGTGGGGAGATGGTCCCTGTGGCACACGGCTGTCTGGCACCTCAGAACACACAGCAAATGTCAACACAGGTCTGCAGGGACTGCTCCACTCATCACAGATGTAGCTTTGCTGCTGCCTTGGTTTCCTCTGCTCTTCCAGCACACCAGTCTTGTGATTCCACACCAAGAATCAACACTCTCGAAAGCTCCATTTCTAGAGGAAAATTATCTGAGATGGATCTCATCTCAAAGCAGGAGGAGCAGAACTGTGTTTTATTTGTGAAGAAATGTTTGAGAACATGACCTCTATTTCTGTACCAAAGTCAAGAGGTACCAAAGTACCTGAATCAATGTTAAAGCCACCTTGAAGATAGGCTCAGCATTTTACACTGCCCCTCACACTTCAGAGGAGTGCAGCTACAGCCCTACACCCAGCCCTGACCCTGTGTGTATCCTAATGAGCCTTCACTTTCCCATCTGACCCTGGCTGGGATCTGTTCAACCCCTCCTCAAAAGCCGGGACTGGTTTCACTTGTTGCTGTATTCATCCGACGGGAAAAGCCGGGAGAATCCTCCTTCCCAGCGCCCTTGCTGGGTGTGCACTGCTCTCTGCCGGTGGCACACGCTATAGCTCACCTGGTGGGAAGTGGAAATTGCCTCCGATGGAAACGGACGGAGCTGCTTCCTTCCGGACACGGCCCCTGGGTCACAGTTCGGAAAAAACCCGGGGAACTCTCCTTTGTCAAGCTTCAAGATGCCACCTGCTCGTAACTGCAGAAATCGTTTGTGAACAAGAGAAATGTGTCCAAAACTACAGCATCCTGGGGTAGCAAATCTCTGTTCTTCTGCATCTCATGTGCTTGGTGTCAGCTGCCATGGGACCAGATCCAGGGGTGTATTCCTGACCTAATTTCTCAGTAGTTGCAATGGTTATAACACTGCCTTTCCTCAAAAGGTATTGTGAGGCTGCAGCTGTCAAGCTTCTCCTACAGACCAGCTGAAGGGGCAGAATTTCCATTCTGAGGACATTTGGGAAAGGAGGCTGATGGGGAAGGCCATGTTTATGCACCAAGGCAGAGACTGAGGTCAGAGTGGAGAAAGTGGCTCTTTAGCAGGTCATAAACCCACAAAGGTGTGTTTGCTGAGGGATTTGCTTGGCCTGGGTTTGGAGGCAAGACTCCTGCAGCACCTCCACCCTGCACCATGACAGCACCCTGCTGCACACAGCATGTGTCAGCTCTACAGAGGGAACTGAGTGGGGTGGGATTTTCTGTCCCATTAGTGCCCTGGCTTCTTGTGAGTGGAGATCTGCTCATATGCGCTGTCAGCAGCAGCAGTGAGTGTAAAAGAGCTCTGCCAAGGCTGGGAGACAAACCTCTCACATCTTTTGCTTCCCCACTTTAATGTGGAAAGAACCAACTCACGAAACACCAGCAGCCACAGAAAAACAAACAAATGTAAGACTTGAGTGCTTTCTTTCCCTAAGTACACACCTCTGTCAGCCTTTATCTCTGATCCCTTCAGAGAGCAAAGGTCAGTTGGGCCACATGTGAACTGCTGCCTTGGGAGAGGAAGAGGAAGGAAATGACACATTATGAACAGCTTTCTAGGCCTGTCTTGATACACTTTGCTTGTGAAGCCTGAGAGCGTGATGGCAGCCAGATGGTGACTAGAGACTGGCATCTATCAGAACATGGCTCCCCCTTTTGAAGCTGCTCACTTGACATCTGCAGCAGGATTTGTATGGGCCTGTGAACAATGTGCTTTTGTTTGGTGGGGCTGTACTGGAAGAGTCCTTTTGCTGGAAAGTGTCAGGAGTGTTCCAGCTAACATTTTCATCACTTCTGGGAAAGACCAGCCTGGCTCCTGGCCTAGGGAAGAGTGGAAACACTGCTCTTCCAGCAAGTACTGAGGAATTGCATTCTGAAATTGCCCCAACACAATGAAGCCATCAGTCACCACTTCAGAGGCTTCCAGCTCTGTAACGACTTTGTTTCTCTGCCACACAGAGATGACATTTTGTTAAAGAATTGAGGTTTTGTTGCAATTTAACATCTCAATGTTCTGCTTTGCTCACCATGGCCAAGGGAGTCTTGCAAATAACATCTTTCACTGCCATAAAGTAACAGTTCCCTTTCCAGCAGAGCAGCTGTGGGAAAGCTGGATTTAAGACTCAAGGTAACTTGATTCCATTTCCATCTCTGCAATCATCTTCCAGTTTCATGCAGCCTTAACACCTTGGTGTGTCAGTTCCTAATCCATTACCTTATGTATGACCTGTTAAACACATGCATTCAAACACCTGAAAAGCAATAGGAAGCTGACTTTAAAAATCTTCCATAAAAATGTGTTTTTTTGCCACCTTCTCCTGGGATCCAGCACCAGACCTGCAAGCTTCTTTTTTCCTGCAGTCATGAAGAATTTGCTTATTTTTTTTGTTATTAAAGTGAAAGCTGAGGTTTACATGAAACCACACAACTCCTACATGGAAATGGGGCTTTTAAGTGAAAACACTGTAACACTAAGTGATGAGACCAGGCAGATGAGTATGAGGGGCTGAGTTACGCAGCTGACAGAGATGAAGCTACTATGTTATAGCTCTGGTAAGAAAGCAGTAATAGGAACCACCATCAGTGTGAGGAAACACATGTAGAACAGGCGTGGTGGGAACGCGGGTTTCTTGGAATACTTGTATCAATAACACTCTTTTCCTCAGTGGTTATCACAGCACGGGATGGGACAAAGAGCCTCTTCCCTGTTGACAAAGCAACCTCAGGCTTGCAACATCACACCCATCATTTATCTTTTCCAAGTCTCCTCAAGGAAGTGTGTTTAGGAGGGTTATAACCGGTGGTGCTCATGGTCAGGAAGACACTCCAGGAATAACAGGTATGAAATCATGTCTCCAGCCCACATGCAATCCAAGCACTATTTTTAGGAAGAAGCCTGAACCGGAAGTTTAAGAGTGAGTCTTTGAGGACTTGTTTCTATTATAAAGATGAAGATAGCGAAGTGAGCGCTGCTGGAGTTCACACAGTCACATGAAATACCTGAGGGTGCCAGAGAGCCTCTTCAGTGGAGTGTAGAGGCTAAAAATAGCAAGAGCATGGGAGAATGCTTGGGAAAACGCATGAGTGGTATTTACAGAGGGAGGGGACCTGGGGTGACGTGCATGACATGCACTGCAAGCCAGGGCCAACTGAGCACCTTCGTACCTTGATACCCTTACCTCTCTTACTTCGCACAGACAATAGCTACTGTGGCCTCACTAATCAGGCATCTGAGCATCACCTGCCTCAACACTGTTATTGCAGAGGCTGCTCTTGACTGATGCACGTTTAAAGAAAGCAGGTCCTTTATCTGTCCTGCATGTGGCTCAGTTACAGCACAGAGGGGGCTCTCTAGGTTGTATGTTACAGAATTCATGGATAAGGGCGGAGAAAACACAGAATAGAGGGGAGGAAAGAAGCACAGCCACCATCACCCCCTAGCCCCGTGCACGCACACACGCACGGGCACTCTCCGTGGCTGCACTCTCCTTTCTCAGCCCCGGCACACCGGCGTGTTGAGTTCACCCCACGGTAAGAGCCGCGTCCTGGCACCGTCCCGTTGCTGCCTGACCTGCGTTCGCCCGCGGAGCAGCCCCGCATCCCGCCCGGCTGCAGAGGGCACCAGAGCACCGGGGAGGACCCGGCGAGGGCCCGTCCCTGCTGAGCCGCCAGCTGTACCCGTGCGGGTGAGGGGGCTCCTGCCCCGGCACCCCCCGGCAACCGGAGCACAAGGGAGGGGGGGGGGATTTACAGCCTGAGGGACTCTGTTGCCCGGGTGGTGGCTGCAAGCCACAGCCAGCAGCAATAAACACGTTGGCTCAACCAGCTCGATTTCTTACTCAAGTGGTTTCCCGGACTGGGAGAAAAGGCAGAATTGTGCAATGCTGTCGGGTAGCTGTTTGCTCACTGTTGGTCACCTCAAGGCGCAGGGGATGGCACTAACAGTCCTGCATGCTGCCCATCCTTGAGAGAACCTCAGTGGCTGCAGGCAAGCTCCACTGCTTTCCACTGAATTTTTCCCAGCTCTTGGGAACAGAAGAGAGCTGTCCTGGCCATCCAGCACAGATCTCCTGGACGACTCAGGTCAGAGCCTTCTCCTGCAATTCCCTGACTACGCTCCTGTTCTTTGCTATCATAATCCCAGGTAATAGCCAGAAGGGAGTGCCCAGTCATGGGGGGATGAGCTAGTCCAGTCTCTTTCCTGATGCTCAGGGACAACAGTTTCTTCTATCATTTCACACTTGCAGAGCATTTCCCAGGCTACAGATGAAAGATCTGCATCCACTGGCAGCTCTGCCAGTAACCCACAGCTGAAGGCAGACACCAGCTGTCCTTCTTTCCTTCCTGTCTGTCCTGGGTCCTGCAAGGCTTTGAGGAGCACTTGTCCCTAAAGCCAGTGCAGGGCCCAGCCTGCACCTCTCAAAGTTCCTCTAAATAGGAGTCATCAGGAGAAATTATTGTTAATGAAATAATGAACCCTTCCAGAAACCTGGGGAAAGAGCCAGGCAGGTTTTATCAGCCCCAGCTTACAAGGAGATCACAAGATCACCTGTAAGATATGCCCAAAGCTACAGATCTCGCACAACCAGAAGGGAAGCCAGGACTGCATTCCTCTCCCAGTGCCATGTCACGATTCCCAGGGAGTGCACTGCCTCCAGACCCAGCCTGCAGCAGCACCTCACTCTCTTGGCAGAATTCTCTCTTTAATTCACTTTCTACAATACACATTCTCTTGAAAACATGTTGGAAGCATGCACTTTCTCCACACTGCTTCACCTCCTCCATACCTCCCATCAAGGAAACACCCCATATTTTTATATCTTATTGCCTGCACTATTTTCACTTAATTCACCAGGACATCTGTGTTTCCTGGGAAGAAAATGTCTCTTCTGCAGGGTGGTGGTAAGGAGGTTGATGTGAGGCACTGCTCAGCAGTGTTCTCCCTAATTCACACAAGTTAAATAGCATTGCTCATCTGTCCAGGAAAAAAAAAAAAGGCTGTCTTGATATGCTTACAACTGTCATTTCATCTTAGAAAATACTACTCTAGGAAAAACCCCACAGTAACTATTCTGCATCTCCTGGTATTTTTATTTCTTGCTGTTGTGGTACCTTTTTGATTTCTCTGCATATAATTGTCTCACATATGTATCTTTGAAGCACCTATTAAAAATAAAAGGTTAAATAACAATACTCTCTGTGCAGCAGATGCCCGTTGGGATGACTTGGCTAAGTGTTCTGCCTCTCCATTATTCACCAGCTTCCACCAGCCTGCTCTCAGCAGGGATGCTGTATGTGGGATTAAAGGAAGCAAGGAAACAAGAACAGAAGTCAGGTTTCCCTGGCAGCACGGTTTCTGTGCCTCTCTGTGTCTTGCTTTATGTGTCTCACAGAATAGCAATAGCCTCTGCAAAAACCAAAAATTAATTATGCGTTAATTAAGCCCTTTCTTTCTGCTTTTCTCATGTCCTCAGTGAGGGATGGCTGTGTCAAACTACCTGCATCCATTTAGCAAAATATCCTGTATATTTAGAGCCTGAGACCCTTGGCAATACTCTGTAAGACAGACAAGTCCCTACACACCTGACACATTGCAGTCATCGTGGTTATTTTTCCCTCGCTCCAGGTGCACACAAACCCCATGTGCTTTTCTCAGTTCAGCTGCTAATGCATAACCGCACTTTTAATACCTCTCTGTATTTCCTGACTGCTTCTCTGGGAGCAAAGCTTCTCTGCTTGGGGATGTCCTCTTGTGCTGACTGCAAGAGCCTGGATGACTGGATTTAAGGAACAAGCACAAGAGGGAACAGCCATTCATTTCCACTTTACCTCCGA